GAACAAGCAATACAAAATAAATTACTTTATGTCTTCTAAGGAGGTGGTATGCTTGGAAGGAGAGTGGGAAACTGGAAACACTGGGAGAGAGAAGGTCACACTGGGGGTGGGCTTGGCCCTGTAACACTGCCTTCCTGCCTGAAGTAACTGTATAATGAGCAACTCTGTAAACATGGCGTTTAAATAAAGTTAGGAAAGAAAAAGATTATCATCCAAGTTGATTAGAAAGACAACAGATAACAAATATTGGCAAGGATGTGGAGAAACAGGAACTACTAAGAACTCTTGGTGGGAAGGTAAACTGGTCGGACACCTTAAAAACTGACCAACTTACTGTTTAAAATTTTATGGAGTTTCAGGAGTTTTGCTTTAGCTATCTATATGGAATCTATACATCACCACGTCACAGTATGGGGGTATGGCACCACCAGCAGGTCAATCTGTACTGTGAGGCGAGTGCATCAGCAGCCTGATGGTGTGCCTTTGGACGCCCAAAAAACCTTGGGGCAAAGCTTACCAAGAAAGTAAACAGCCAAAAGTTAGGTATGTGGGAAACACACCCACAAACCACCTCCGGCTCAGCTATATAATCAGAGGCATGGCCTCTTGGGTTCCTGATTGAACTGCTTAATGGCCATGATCCCAAAGACTCAGAAACAAATCTCAAAACCCAGCGACTTTTAGCAGAAATGGGTCTGGTCCCTGCAGTAGGTTACCAGTGCTGGGCCAACCCAGGTGGGAATAGGTTTTGTGTCTTGGCCCGTTAACCCCAGCGGCCCAGTGGCTGCCATCCTTCAGAGGCCACTGGACAGTCAGGTTTGGGCCCCAATGACGAAACTTGTTGGGCCTCATGAGATGGAGGGAGGAGCCGGGCCTGTCCTCCCCACCCCAATGAGACTCCAAGTCATCGCCCATAAACGGCCTCCTGATCAAGATGCTTAACGGCCATGATCCCAGAGACTCAGAAACAAATCTCGAAACCCAACCGCTTTTGGCAGAAATGCGTCCGGACCACACAGTAGGTTACTGTCTCTAGGCCACCCCAGGGGGGAAAGGGTGCTGTTCCTCCGTCTGCTCCCCCTTGGTGGCTCGGTGGCCATCATCCTCCAGAGGCCATTGGACAGTCAAACTTGGGCCCACAGTGACGAAACTTGTTGGGCCTCACGGGATGGGAGTGGAGCCAGGCCTGTCCTCCCTCTCCTCACCAATGAGACACCAAGTCATCGCCCACGAACGGCCTCTCTGACTCCGGATCAAGCTGCTTAATGGCCATGATCCCAGAGACTCAGAAACAAATCTCGAAAACCAGTGGCTTTTGGCAGAAATGCATCCAGACCCCATAGTATGTTACTGTCGCCGGGCCACCCCAGGGAGGAAAGGGTGTTGTCACTCCGCCTGCTCCCCCTTGGCGGCTTGGTGGCCGTCATCCTCCAGAGGCCATTGAACAGTCAGGTCTGGGCCCACAGTGACGAAACTTGTTGGGCCTCACCGGATGGGGGTGGAGCTGGTCCTGGTCTCCCCGTCCCAACGAGATCCCAAGTCACTGCCCACGAATGGCTTCTCTGGCTCGTGATCAAGTTGCTCAATGGCCACGATCCCAGAGACTCAGGTGCAAATCTAGAAACCCAGTGGCTTTTGGCAGAAATCCCTCCAGATTTAAGTGTTAAAATTCTGGAATTTCAAAATCACATGGCCCGACTGCAGCCACGCGACATCATATGTTATTCATAAACAGCAATAGGACACAAATTGTCTACTGTTGCCTTTTCAGCAGATCTGAGTGTTGGAGTAAAATCTCAAATAATAATGGAGGGTCTGGTGTCGAAATATTGAATGTGCTCAAAGTAGAGAGAGAGTAATGTGGAAATCATCTGCCCCACAGGTAGGGGAAGGTTGTGGGATGGGGGTATACTGGGGTTTTTGGTGGTGGAGAATGGGCACTGGTGAATGTACAGGTGTTTTATTGTATGACCGAGACTTAGACCCGAAAGCTTTGTAACTGTTCTCACGGTGATTCAATAAATAAAATTATAAAAAATTAAAAAAAAAAGAAACACAGTAAAAGAACATCAATGGCCAAAGGCATCAGAACTACAGATTCTGTCAACATATCTGGCATGAGTTTGGGTGGGAAGGGGCCATGGGGCATTAAAGGATAATTAACAGTATTGTCAATCATAGCATCTGACAATTATTGTGAAAAAACAAAACAAAACAAAACAAAACTTCTGTTTCACAACTAAGAAGTGATATTCCATCACAATCACGATCATCCTGTTGTTCGTCGATTGCCTCGAGCAGGCCCCAGTAACGTCTCCTTCGTCCTAGCCCTGAGATTTTCAAAAGTGCCATATTCAAGGCTCTTTCAGGGTTAGGAGAATGGGACCCATCATTGTTACTGGTATTTGGCATATGGGGTATGCCACGGGGAGTTTGCCAGACTCTGTCGTGTGGGCAGATAACATTCAGTAGCCTGCCAGGTTGTCCATAAGACCCAGCAATTCTACTTCTTGGCAACTACTCCAAAAAACTCTATTCTGAAAAAATATTTTCACTTCTAAGTCCTTTGCCATATTGTCCAAATCTGGAAATAACTCAAGGGTCCAAGAAGGTATGACTCGATAAAGACACTGTGGTACCTATACACAGTAGAATACTACTCATGAAATTGGACACTACATGGATGGCTCTGGAGAGTATCATGCTGAATGAAGAGAGGGACAGACACAGAATGGTCTCTCTCATATGTGTGATATAAAGAAACATAGTAAGTGAATAACAAGTGGCCAAGGCGACAGATTCTGAGAATTGGTCTACAGAGCTGAGCCAATCTCCTGTGGAGAAACAGTCTGGTGTAGGGTGGGCTGTTGGAGCGTTTTATGAAGCCTTATAGTTAAAACTACTATAAATCACATTGTGTAAGTGCTGCTTTGTTTTGGGGTCCCACTGATTGGTCCTCAGGGCTAGTGGGGCTTGTAGAAACCGTGCAGAGTGCAGTGATGGTCCTGGGTCAGTCACACTCAAGACAAGTGCCTGACGGCTGCACTCTCTCCAGCCCCTCTGTGCTTGGAGTTTAAAAATTAATAAAAGAAAACTAGCTTGGAGACATTTCAAAAAGTTAAGATACAAATGGTTCAGAAACACAAAAAGTGTTGAATTTCATGTCTTTTCCTAAAATAACTCAGTTGACATTTGTACTCAGAGAGCATAAAATCAAAGCGCACAGAGGAGAGCAGACAGTCTTGTGCTCGGCACCATCGCACACAGCAGCACTGACACTCCCACAACAGGCCTGTCTGCACAGCAGGACAAGGCACTGAGGTTAGTAAGCTTTCCATTGAGAATGCCTTTTATAAAACACATCTGCGTTGTGAAGGTGAAGTATACCTAAAGCATTTCTGCTACATAGCATTAACTATTTATCTAGAACAGTCTTTTGAACTTTGTAAAATCAACTAGGCATACTTTTTTAAAAATAAAAATTTACTTGTGAGAATGACTAGCAGAGAATCTCCAGTTAAGTAGAAGGTCAGGAGTGACTTCGTGCCTCAGGAAGACAATTGACAGTGTTTATTTTAGAGCAGAAATTTTAATCTGGAAAGTTGTTTCTGACAACAAAATTTGAGAGATTTTCAATATTTAAGACATTTCTGGTGTGATCAGTGATGATAGAAATAAATGAAAATGTGAATAGTATAAAATGAAATATGTCAATGTTTGGAAGGTCTGCTTAACTTTACAAAAACCAATGTTTTCCAAATGAACCATGCATAAAGCTACAAAATCCTACTTGGCCAAAAGAGTCATGTAACATAGATCAATGGTTTTAATGTTAACAAAGACCAATGTAACACAGACCAGCAGGTTTTTTTTTCTATTTTCTATTTTTTTTTTTAATTAGTGAAACACCATGAGGTACAGTTGTAGACTTACAAGTTGTTGTGCTTGGGTTTCAGTTATGCAATGATCGAGTATCCATCCCACCACCAGTGCCCATTCTCCACCCCCACCGATCCCAGTATCCCTCCCACCCCCATCCCCCATCCCACCCTGCCTCTGTGTCAGGGCACTCCCTTTTGTTCTATCTCTCCTTTTGGGTAGACCAGCAGTTTTTAATGCTAAGAAGTATGAAGAGGACTTTAATTTCACATTATAATTTACAATGAATTTATTCACAATAATCTGAAATAACTATTAAAATATTCCTTTTTTTCCAACAAAATATCTAGATAGGTTGAATCTTTTCAAATATTTCAAATAAAACAAGCTTTCTGAATGGTTATTTTAACAGGGAGCAATATTTTAAACTTTCAAATGGAGTAATTATTGATAAATAAAACCCTTTTATAAATAAATACTGAAACCCTCAACAGTTTTCATTATTATTTTTAAAGGCTGTATTAAGGTAACATGATTTCCAGACCTGTTTGTGATGGCTTCATGCATGCATCTTTCCAACACCACACCTGGTCCTGGAGCCTGGAAGAACCAGGACCTTTGCTGCCAGAACCCAGCCACTTAGGCCCCTTATTTAAATGATAATTTCTCGGTGCTGCCAGGCTGAAATCCGAGGGTTTCCAAAGGCCCTTCAGTGTGTGAGGAAGGTGGAGTACAGCTGTCAGTAGCTGCACATTTTGGGACTGTAGGACATGAACCTGCACCCAAAGGTCAGTAGCACTGGGTGGGTCCACAGAGCCCTGGGCATGCTCAGGGTCGGGAGGCAGAGGCGGGCAGGGATATCAGCCTGTGGAGAAACAGTGCTCAGAGTGATGACTTCTGGCCTGGGACAGAGAAGCAGCTTCTCAGGGCAGAGCCCGTTAGAGGATGTCTCCATGGTGGGGGCTGGGCTGGAGGTGGGCAGTGCATGTGGGGTCTACACAGAAAATGGGGAAACAGTGCAGAGAGCCAAAACTCCTGACCTGGGATGGACTCTCAATAGGCCCTGAGATCTCAACCTCTGGAAACTGCATTTCAAGAAAGGATTAATGAACAACACTTACATCAGAAAGGCCTCATTCACCGCATCCAAGAACTCAGGACAGAGAACTTCCTGGGGGTCACATCCATGGTATGTGAGCAGAGCCTTCACCAAAGGTTCAAAATCAGGCAGAGCAATAAGAGGGACACAAACCTGTGACAGCGACTTCATGCGTTCAGGACTCATCCTACGGAATAAAGGAATAATTGTTCAATTTCTCAAGCCATAAGAAGCTCAAAAAAAAATCTCAGGCTGACAAAGCTGGTAACAGGTCACTTGCTTTGCCCGACATAATTCCATCTCTGGATGCTCTTCGAGAGCTCCCTAGGAAGTTACTGCAGTTTTCCCTTTAGCATTGGGATTCTAAGATCAGGACTCTGGCATGACTTTCTAAAGGCAGGGCCCAAACAAAGTTCTTTAATTACTGTTCCAAACTGTCTCTTCCCTCAGTGCTCACTCTCAGATATTCAGGATAAAACCCGTGGAATTCATCATGACAAGTCCCTTTCCCTCAAGCCACTGCCCTAAGGGAGCAGTAACCACTGCTCTTTCACCTGATGACAGATTCATCTCCACACTCCCCGTTAACTGCAGCACTGCCTGGGCTCTGGGTTACTGTAGAGCTGCCTACCGTTCCCCTGCTTCTGCCTGATCTGTCAGAAGTGCTCCCAGCAGCTCCTACGTGATTTCATTTGTTTGGTCCACGCTTTCCACCTCCCAGGGAACAAGGGATGTCATATTCTTTAAAAAAAAGTTGAGGGGACAATACCTGACTGTGTAGGGCTCAGCGAACAACATGGGGGTGGGGCAGAAACAGGAGGAGTGCGGGGAGACAACTGCTTGCTCATTTGCTGCATAAACTGCTTCCAGGAATGAGCCTTAAAACATCATCCAAAGCCACCTCTTATCAACTTACCACCCAAGGGTGTCTAGTTTAAGCACCTCCACACCGAAACGGGTACCCCACACCCATGATGTTAGCAGTAAAGGGAGATGAGGTGAGAGCTGAAACTCCTGTCTGGGTGAAGTCAAGACTGGCAGAGCTGCTGCAGCAGGTATCACACACTACAGAGGGCAAGGGCCAAAACTCAGGAGCTCAGTGCTCAGGGCATAAGTGAAGGGTCAGAACTCGGGAGCACTCAGTTCTCAGGACTTCAATAAAGGGTCGGAACCCGGGAGCACTCAGTTCTCAAAACAGTGAATGGGCCCTGGAGTGAGCAAGCGGCTGCACATGTCCGAGGCCTACTCTGCGAGTGGGAGGCCCAGTTTGCTCCCCAGTACTGCATGGTCCCCTGACCACTGCTGGGAGTGATGCCCAAGTACTGAGTTGTGGGGTAGACTCCAAAGATGTAGCTCATAAATAACAAAAAATCTAGGAAACTGAGTAGAGACTCAAAACTGAAAACATGAAACACACCAACATACATCAGCAGTGCAGCACTGTAGCAATGTCCTCCCGTTGTTCATCGAATTGTTCGAGTGGGCACCAGTAACATCTCCATCATGAGACTTACTGTTACTGTTTTTGGTATATTGAATATGTCGCAGGTAGCTTGCCAGGCTTTGCCGTGCGGATAGGATACTCTCGGTAGCTTGCCGGGCTCTCCAAGAGGGACGGAGGAATCAAACCCGGGTCAGCTGTGTGAAGGCAAACGCCCTACCCGCTATTGCTCCAGCCCAACAAGTCTCACAATGGAGACGTTACTGGTGCCCACTTGAGCAACATACATTAATGATAAATTATCAAAAGTCTATTTCTTCTATGTTATCACTGTGTCACTGTCACCCCATTGTTCATTGATTTACTTGAGTGGGTGCCAATAACGTCTCCATTCGTCCCAGCCCTTAGATTTTAGCAGCCTCTCTTTACTCATCTTTTCCAATGCTGCCTTACTGGAGGCTCTTTCAGGGTCAGGGGAATAAGACCCATTATTGTTACTGTTTTTGGCATATCGAATACACCATGGGTAGCTTGCCAGGTTCTGCCTTTTTCTATGGTAAAGAAAAAAAATAATGATGACTGCTAGGTAAAAAAAAAAATGCATAACACACAAAGATTGAGCAAACTGTCAGATTTCTCAGCAGGAATGCCACAGAAGATGATAAAGTGGAAGGAAATAGACACAATTCTTTAGTTTTTTGTTTGTTTGTTCTTGAGTACCACACCCAACAGTACTCAGGGCTTATCCTGGCTCTGCACTCAGGGGTCACGACAGGCAGGGCTCAAGGTACCCTACGAGATGCGGGGCTGAAACTGGGCAGCCATGTAAAAGGCAGGTACAGAGGCCAAGGTACTGCTTCGCACGCAGCCGACTCAGGTTCAATGCCCAGCATCCCAGATGGTCTCCTGAGCATGCTAGGAGTGATCCCTGAGTGCAGAGCCAGGAGAAGCCCTGAGAACCCCAGGTGTGACCCCCAAACAAAACCAAAACAAAATCTTCCAGCTAAGAATATTGTACTTTGCAAAATCATCATAGTGGAGTTTACTTCCACCAGATGTACACTATAAGAAAAGTTCAAAGTTCTTTCATACGAAAAAAGAATATTAACTAAGTATGGTGATAAATAGTATGTGGAATCAGAAATACAAACAAGAATAACCAACAACAACAACAAACCAAAGGGCAGAAAAAACTGGATAGAATCAGAATCTATAAGCATGCATGTACTTTCTCTCTCTCCTAGGTAAAGACAGACGGAATAAAAACCCCTGGTAACCACAGCAACAACTACAAAAGCCTAGAGCAGAGATGCACAGAAGAAAAGCCAAGGACACTGAGGAACTACCAAGGAAAGAATCCAAATGAAAGGCAGAAAGAAACTAGAAAAAGAAACACCACAAATACAACATAGCCAGTGAGTATAAGATAGAATGGCAATAATTAACCCCCATATATCAATAATTACGCAAAATGTGAATGATCTGAAATGACACAAATGACACAGCTTAGATGTTTAACAGTAACCAGTACCCATCTATACAGCCATGGAGGAGACAATTATCATGTATTAATACAACATAGACTCATATGAAAGGCTGGAGCAAAGCATTTAAAGTTAGTAGTAGAGGAAAATTTTTTATGGACTGGAGTGACAGCACAACAGGTAGGGCATTTGCCATGCACACGGCCAACCTGGGTTCGTTTCCCAGCAAGCTACAAAGAGCATCCCGCCCGCACAGCAGAGCCTGGCAAGCTCCCCGTGACATATTCGATACGCCAAAAACAGTAATAACAAGTCTCACAATGGAGACGTTACTGGTGCCTGCTCCAGCAAATCGATGAACAACGGGAGGACAGTGCTACTAGTAGAGGAAAAAAGAGCAGGAACTGCTATTTGAAAAAATAGAAAAATTAAAAAATTGTGATATATATATATACCTTATAGGATACTGCTCAGCTAATAAAAAAAAAGATGACAGGCATTTGGAGTCAGGCTAGAAGGATAGGGACGTGACCACAGTTACGTGGAGTAAAACAATTCAGGATACAAGAGACAATCACAGGTGGTTTCACTCATATCCATAGTATAAATAAAGCAAATGAATGATCAACGCAGCACAAATGACTCTGCCTCTGTAAAAGCCTAGTGGAAAAACCAGGGGAGGGCACAAGGACACTCTGAGCCTGTCCTGCTACCCAGGATTTGGGGGAGGGGAGTGCAGGAGACTGACATTCCTAGAAGGTGTGACACAGTGTTCCCAAAGCCAGAAGTCAGTAAAAAGTTTTGATTTTTAAAAAGAAATCAATTTGCTTGTTCTAGGCAATGCATTTAATATACTTTTCTTCCATTTGTTGCACTTCCTTCATTCTTTCCTCGTAGTACTGGCTTTCTTTTAGTATCTAGTGACTTTTTAATTTGTTTTTTCTGGAATTTTCAATTTCTCCTTCCCTTCCGTCTGAATGCTGTTTACTGTAGTCCATGCCGGACAATTAGGGTGAGGTTGAGGATGTGATGCTGGCTGGGTTTCCCGCAGCATGTAGGCGGTGGGGTAGCCCGCCGCCCCCCCCCCCCCCCCCCCCCCCCCCCCCCCCCCCCCCCGCCTCTAGGGAGTTGAGGGCTATTAGGTGGATAATTTCCTCCTTTCTAGTGGATAGTAACAAGGTGTCCCCGGGGACAGTGGAAGAAAGTCTGAGTGCCTTGACCCTGGCTTCTGTTACTGTAGCAGCCCAGCCAGCTGTGGCTAAGAGTACATTCCCACACCTGAATCTCTGTCCAAATCACCTTTACTCTCTGTTTGTGTGGGGGCAACACCCAGAGGTTCTCAGGGATCTCTCCTGGAAGTGCTCAGGGGACCATGCTAGTGCTGGGGATTGAATAGGGTCAGCTGCATGCAAGGAAAGCGACTTAAGACCTTAGTTTTTGTAATAGTCCTTTTATCTGCTATTTGGGCTATAGGAACTTCCTTCCAGAAGATCCTACCTTACTACTTTAAGCCTTGTCATCAGGTCATAAAAAAAAAGGTCATTAAAAAATACTTGATTTTATAGTATTCTCTATTTGACCAAATTCTGTCATTTCTAGGAGTTGGGAATATAAAGTGAGTCTCAGGACACTCATGACAACAGTTACCTGGCTTATCTGAAGAGTCGTCTTTTTCCTTTTCTCTCCAAATATTGACCTTTTCTAAAATTCACTTTTTGGAGCGAAAGCAGCAGTCCAGGGCCCAGGCGCCTGCCTTCCACGTGGGCGGCCCTTCTCCCATTGGTGCCACACATGGCCACTGAGGGTCGCCAAGGCTGTGCCTGAGCACCGGACCAGGAGCCCTGGGCAGTGCAGGGTGTGGCCCAGTCCTCCAACCAGTTTCTTTTCACTACTTATTTCTTCCTACTTCTATAAAGCACTAAGGTTTCCTTAATATTATCTTCTACAGTGCTCTGTCATCTTTTTCAAGTGCACCATCAAGGAGGTTATTTATATACTAAAGTTAGTTGATGTGTTTTGAGTCAAGTATTGTAGTTGTTAAATGTACATTTAGTTTGTCTGTAAGTACCTTATTTTTTGAAATCCATGAGTTTACAGTGAGAACAGAAGAAAAAGATATTGAGTATGCATATGTGTATCTGCAAATGTAATAAGGATTTATACATGTGATACAGTATAGTATTTTTTAGTATTTTTAGTATTTTTTCATGCTGAGCCCGGCAAGCTACTGAGAGTATCTCTCCCACATGGCAAAGCCTGGCA